CAAGACAATAAATCTGCAGCTGTTTGGATGTATTTACGTGACCAAGTAGGTCCGAAAGCTAGGGAGTCGTTGATGTTGCTTAGGTTGGGCGTCGGCGGTGGGTGGGCAAGTTGACATTTGACACAGAGTACGCTAAACCTACGGTACTCTGTAGGACGACGAAGATGACAACGTTACTGGTCTCCTTATCGAAACCTCTCTGTACTATACGACCGCTCCCAAGCACACAATTTCGAAGTGAGTGCCGCCAGTTCGCGTACAATCTTTCGAGGCAGCTGCCAAGGGGTCATGCATCGCCCTCCAGGCGGACTTACCTTCCTAAATCACTATTGCCTGCTTGAGGAAGCACCTCTACACTAAAACGTGGGCCTGACTTGTCTCGATGTGACGGCTCGAGGCCGCTACATTAGCCAATTCAGACTTCGCGGTCCAGGTTGCTACTTTCCTCCTCGTTTCCATCTGCTGCCTCCCTACAATGAGACAGTCCGTGCTGAACGAGGGCGGCCTTTCAATAGACTCGCTACATCCGGCTCGCTGTACACCGTTTGAACAGTGATTCACGATCTAACAGTAGAAATCCCAAAATTGCAAATTTTAGCCCTGGTTTCTGGGGCATAGCGACTCTGGTGCCGGATCAGTTACGTATGACCGATTTTGAAAATCTCGACATGGCTGTCTGAAAGGCGGGAATATACACTGAATGGGAGCATGGATTTAAGGAAGATGATAATTTTCTAAGTATGTGCACAGACTTCTAGATCTAATAAGTACTACTCCCGAAAACTTACACAACTTTTATCAAATTTAAAGAGTATTCGTACAAGTGCGTTTCCGAGTATTCCAGTCGGGTATCTACATGAACCACAGACATCGATATAAACCTATCGCGTATACCGCCTAGAGACCCAAGAAAATCGTAACTGATACGCCCGTATGTATCGTAACCTGGACAATGTAACCCCCAGCCAACTTTTTCGCCAGCCGAACCCCAAAACCAACAACCAAATCTATGAAGACAATTCAAGAAGTATGACCGTTGTAAACCACGCTTGACCAAAATTAAATCAAGTGGGAATAAGTATTCACCGAAGAAACGAAAATGAAACCCAGAAAGCGCCGTAGAAGTGGAGGGACAAACCAAAAAAGTCAACCAAAGAACTCCCCAGAAACGAGCGCTTCCCAAGGCTTCCCTGTATCCCATACTCTCTGCATCAGAGATCTCGCTTTATGTACCTGCACACATTTCGTCAGGTTCATGCCTCAATCAAGTATGTGGATTGGTAGAACGTACCTGCGTCATCCCAAACCCCTCCACACACCTCAACCTCTCCATAATCTTCTCCCTCTGCCCGCTATCCGTCGCATCACAACCCGCCGTAAACATCGGAAACAGTAAACACGCCTCCGCCGTACTCCCTCTCCTAACTTTATACAACAACCCCACAATTTGACTCACCGCATTCTGTACCTCGGGATCCGTCGCCGGCTTGCCTAGGACACGGCGGAAGAGGTGAATAAGACCCGCCCAGTGGAACATTTCGTTCGTGGCGTAGATTTCGGTAGCGTCCCATGCGCCTTCGGATTCCGACGAGGATGAGGAGCGGTGGTTGCACCCCTTGTAGACGATCTCGTGGGAGAGACCGGCTTCGAGTTCAGTGCGGATGACATATGCTTGTGCAATAATATCTTGATCCGGACGCCAGTCTTCTCGTACATTTCCATCCTCGTCGATTCGTTTGGGCTCGCACTGTTTTGCTAGCTCTGCAATCCGTGCCAAGATGCCCACACAGCGAGTCGTGAATCCGAGTAAGCAATCGATCTGGTTATCTTCATCCGCGGACGCTGTTTCAGAGGTCCAGTAGCACGATTCCAGTGGTACGTCGTTTTTATTTCCGGAAAGCGAGCCTAGTACATCTAGGTACGCGAACCAAGTCGATAGGAAATACGCCACTCTATCATGTCTATCCATACTCTTCGGACCACCTCGTGCGATGATCATCTGTCTTGCAACCGTCAGATGATTCTGCCAGGATATCGGCACCTCGAAAGTGTTAGGAGAGATGATTTCGAGGGAGGCGAGCATGATTGCGGGGGCGAGGGTGGCGTTTGTGATCTCGTTGTTGTTATTTGCTAGGGATTGACGAAGTTTGGGAAAGACATCCTGGACCCAGACGGCGATGCGGTTTACGGGTTCGGGGTGATTGAGGAGACGGGCGCGGTGTGAGGCGCTGAAGGCGAGAAGTAGGTTTAGGATGTTTTCGTCTTGGACGGCCACTAGTGTTGTTAGTTACACCTACTTCTGATAGGAGTGGTCAACTTACTTTCTGGCAGGATTTGGCGGAAGGGATTTTGTTCGCAGTCGTGGGGGACGAGGATGCGGGCTGTGTGATTGAGGAAGTGGTGAAAGTAGAGAAGGTTCATGGGATTCTCTAGGAGTAGGGGCGGTAATGGTTCCAGAGATTTTGAGATTTGGATGGGAACAGGCTTTGCGTAATAACCTCCCTTCTCGAAAGCCATGTCTTTCCCTCGCACAGCAGGTGTGCCACCGTATGACTCCTCTCCGGGAAAGCCCATGGTTCCGCTGGGAGGACTGAAGATGGCAATGGCATTTACATCGTCATTCTTGGGGGTGTCTAGATCCGGATTACCGAGATCGTATCCATACGTTGTGGTGCTTGAATCCGTGATTGGGTACTGTCGAGCTTGGGTTGTCTCAGGACTATGACCATAGGGATTATCACCAGGAGGTCCAGTGAGCAATGACTGCACTGATAAGCGTCGAAGATCCGGTGGAGGATACGCAACATTTGCAGGTCTCGGTGCGTTCCGCATGGTGATGTCTTCTGAGCCCACTGAAGAATTCGGCGTCAATGGAGTAGTCATGAATGGGCTGTAAGGAGTAGGCGAACCTGGGTTGGGAGAGTATGCTTCTGAGACATTCCAGTTGTCAGACCCAGAAGGAGCAGGAGATTCGGCAGAATGACTACGTTTGTGACGTGAGTAGCCGTGTCCTGTTGCATCCATGATCTCCCCGAATGGACGACTGCTTGGAGAATTGTATGAACTCATGCCACGCATCGGTGGGAGCATAGAGGGAGAGGATAGGGGTGAATCCATAGCAGAGTTCGGTGCGTACGCTGCATTACTGTAGCTGAGACCGTCGAAGCTGGATGCCGACGGAGAGGGATAGTCCAGGCTTCCGCGATACTGGGTATTCTGGATTCTGGGATCAAAGGGAGTAGATGTCGGTTGTGTCATGGTTCTCCTGGAAGAGTCTAGGGGCATGCTCTGCGAGAAGAACTGATTCTGATCAAATGGTCCTCCTACGGCCATTATTGGCTGCGTCTGAGCCTGCGACATCCTCATCAACTCCGGGTCGATCATGGAAGGATCGGAGGTAGGGGCGGAGGTGGCAGAACGAGATCTCGCATGATGTATACCACTAAGAGGTGGTACTGGCGTGTCGGGCGTCTCAGGAGGGAACGTGGGTGAATTGGTGCCCACGAACGAAAAGGTTGACGCATGGGGACTGTTTGTGGCACTTGAGGTTGCCGATTCTGGCTTGTCGGTGGTCCTCTTTGTACGCCCGCCCCAATTGAGTCTGATGCTGTAGTCGCATGTCTCTCCCTGTCGCTCGCAATTCGAGCATCGCGGCTTCTCTTCTCCACTACACTACAGTTATCACAACGGTCGTGCGGGGGCATGCACACGCGGAGGTTTACCATTTCACTTTGCGCGCTTTGCAGGGCCTGTCATTATATCAGATTAGATCTTCCTCAGCAACGTAGGGCCTAGGCATACCAGCATCCATTGCGGGACCTCTTCTTTGGTTCAGTAGCTCCGGGTTTCTTAGGTCGCGGCATTCTCGTTCGCTCACTGTCATAGAACCAACACGAACAGCTCCTCTTCTTGATAACGACACTAACACAGGAGGGATCGGCGGCGAGGCTTTTATGGGAGGTGGTTAAGTTAAGGCTTGTAGAGCTGGCTTTGCAAAGCTGAGTATTCTCGATGCAAAGCGGGGGAGTCAAACGAGGCTTTCTGCCGGTCTACTGGGCTGGGACGAGACACAGGCATGTGTTGCGCCTACTGCACTTGGCGCACGGTTTGCTAGAAGGCGGAGTGCTGCGGTTTCACTGTCGACTACGTGCTGCTGTATGAGCCGTAAGAGCTGTACGAGAGGGGAGCATTTCACCCATCATGCTTCAACAAGTGTGGGGGAGTCGGTGTTGACAAGGCTCCTCCGCAATCCCTGTTCTAGACCAGTCTCAAACTCTAGTCGCATCTTGTTAAGCAGGTTCAAGTGGGTCTGTCAACGATGAACTCTTCTATCAGCGACATATCCACATAAATTTTTTTTTGGAGATGTCTATCCGACAAAGGCGGGAATTCTTCCATCCTTCCATACTAAACGCTTACAGGAATCAATTGCCTCGCATAATCCCATCCATTGGCAGCCTACGCCATGCCGCCATCCCAGAGCACGCACCGACACCAGCATCCATGTATAATTCGCTTGCTGTCTCATTCAACCAGTCTCCCGTTAACCCATATACTCGGCATCGGATACGACGGACTGCAGATACCCGACCAGCCGTTTTCCATCTCGACGCCATGTTACACCGGGTGCTCGACCTCAGCCCTGTCATCCATTACTCAGCGGCGCCAGCTGAATCTCAATTGTCAAAAATATCTTCAGCCTCATTGAGAACGGGCCGTCCTGCGCTTGCCAAATCTGGTGATGCAATCCCATCGTACGTATCTGCGCTATATATACGATATATCTGGATGGAGACGAGTCCACCCGACGTGGCTGGGGCTGTGGTGTTGAACTTCGCAGCCACACAAGACCTCCCATTACTTATCACTCTCGGAACCATCCCGTACTCATTCCAGCTGATTCTCGCTTCGTATCTACGCCCGCCAAGCAGCCCTGCAAAGAGAGCTGAAACAGCAGAATATGAGTATAAAAATCAATTCATTTTGCCAAGACTCATCCAGAGGGTGTGGTTTAGTGGTTATAATATTCGTATGTGTCTCCCCATCACTTCGACTCTCAACGGCTTACCGATGTTAAAAGCGAAGTGTACAGTGGTGCTTATATCGGAAGACCCGAGGTTCGATTCCCGGCGCCCTCCTTTTTGGCGTTTTAATATCCGTCCTGCATACGGTACTTAAATAACTATGTCACGGCGATGGAATTTGTGGTTTCTAGTTGCGTCTTTTGGTGGCACTTCCAAGTTTCCCGCGCAAGCTTGGCAATGCGGACCAACGCAGACCAATGCATCCAACTCGACGTATAGTCTGCTTCAGTCTTCGATGGATACTTAAGTACTTGAAAGGGTGTGGTTTAGTGGCTATAACATCGTATGTCTTACCTCTCACATACAGTAGAAACTCCTTTGCGCGATACTCTTTTGGGCGATATTTCTGATTAGCCGATACTAGTGCCATGGCAGAATTGTCACACCTGCAAAATTTTTACTTACGCCGATTTACGATAAATCGGCTGCCTTACCTCAATTATCGCACAATCGAGTCAACACTTATGCCGCCAAAGGCTATATCCGACGTAGAAAGGCAGGCCCTACGCGCTTATTACTTCTCCCAGAAGCCGCAGCCAAAGCAGAAGGATATTATCGCTTGGTTTGAGCAGCAATATGGCCGTAAACTTGGGCAGGCTACTATCTCTGACTCGCTTAAGGATTGCTATAAACATCTTGATAATGCGCCTGCCGCCAGCTCTATAAGCTTCCGTCAGCGCTCTGGCAAGTGGGAACTACTTGAAAAGATACTCTTCTCATGGCAGCAGCAGCTTGAGGCCCGCGGGCAGCTTGTCTCTGGTGAAGTTCTGCAGGCGAAGGCGAAAGATCTATGGGTTATCCTCCCTGAATACGCTGGCAAACCAATACCTGAGTTCTCACCCGGCTGGCTGGGCGGGTTCAAGAAGCGATTTGGCATAAAGCAATACACTTAGCATGGCGAGCTTGCCTCTATCCCTGTGGCTGCTCACGCTGAGATGGCTCTTGTACGGCAGACCTGCCTGCTTTTCCTCGCACCCTACATGTACAATATGGACGAAATTGGCTGCTCCTGAAGATGATGATCCAGAGCCTACGCCGTCTCTGGGAGAGGCTCTTAAGGCTCTCACAATTGTGCAACACTTTGTGGAGCACCAAAAGGACGCCTCTATCGAGGATACTACACTACTCCACCGTTTGGAGCGGCAATTGGACCTTCAGCAAGCAGGACTTGCAAGCAGAGCACTCTAGATAGGTGGATAACTGGCGCTGAAGGCTCTTTAGATAGTTCTTAGTCAGCTTCTCTTTGTGCGATAATTCGATAGTACGGTAGAAATCACCTGGAAAAATTATATCGTGCAAAAGAGTTTCTACTGTACTTCGATATTCATGCTAAAAGCTGCTGACGGCGACTATTAGCGAACTGTACCTCGGAAGACCCCAGTTTCGACTCCGGGTGCCGTCCTTTTTTGTATTTTGACCTAGATTATTGCAGATGCTTCCATGACGATCTTGAAAATACCTGGAGTTGAGTTTGTTGTGCTACTTTTATTAATATTACCTCAACACTCAGGATGCTTGGCAAAGACCTCAGTGACTCAGGACACATCTAAGTATCAAACTTCAAGCGCGGAATATTTAAGCGCTTTTATTTACAAAGAGCACTTGAGGGTGTAGTTTAGGGGTGTAAAATATCGTAGATGCCCCTTGACTCTATTCCCGTAGACTTGCACCAAAACCAACAGCCGGAGGACCCCGGCTTCGATTCCTCGACACTTTCCATATTTTATCCTACATCAATGCACATATATAATTTTTTGGCTCGGATTCTTACTTCGGACTTGACTCGTCATGTTGTGCCGCACCCTTCTACCATCCCCAGTTCTCAAATGGCTTGGCTCTGGACCTCATTGACTCACTGATTGAACTCAAGTCGAGAATATATATTATTATATTTGAAAAATATAACTGAGGGTGTAGTTCAGTGGTAGAACGTCGTATGTTACATCTGCCTAAAACTTATAGAAATAATTGCTAATAGAGATCTTGTAGAGCCTTAATTATCCGAGACTCGTGGTTCAATTCCCGGCGCCCTCCTTAATTTTTTTGTTTCTAGAACTTAGTTCCTTGAAATTTTTACTCCTGGAATTGAATGCCTTAAGAGTGTTCACATTACGTCGAAGATTTGTCAACATGCTTCTCCCATTCTATCTTTGCACAGCTCTTGGCATGAATCAGAAGTGGGCCGGAATACCACGAATCAACGCATCACATCTTTAATATATCACTTATTTAATTTCGATTTCCATAAAATATCGAGAGGTCAAAAGGCATAGTTGTAGCGGTTAACAATTTAGTAAGCCTTCTCACTCAAATCCCCCAGAATAAAGCTAAACCGCTTTCGCAGTGGCGATCTTATAATTCCCTAAAAGACATAGATTCGACTCCAGGGCCCTCTCATTTTTGATTCTACTTCTAAAGCCCCCATGCATTATCTTTCAGTAGCAAGCTACTTCTTATGTGCGATCTTTTCTTTGTAGTACAAGACCCGAATGTCCATTATTTTTTTTTCTTTTTCTTTTAATTTTCAATGCAAAACCAATCCTGTTCAGTTACATATTACTATTTATGCCTCGCCTGAATCTCACCCACACGAATAACTGCGTGATAGCAACATATCCTTTCCACCTATACATATCTACCATCTTAATTTTCATTCCATCCAATACTACATTAAAGAGGGTGTAGTTTAGCAGGTATAATCTCGTAAGTGCATACGCATTCCCCTACTTTCATTTGAACGGCTGACCCAACAGCGAATGTTGCAGCGTATTGACCGGAAGACCCGAGGTTCGACTCCCGGCGCCCTCCCTTTTTGCACTCAATTTTGCTCTTACACTTTACAGTCTGGAATAAGCCAACTTTAACTACATACACAATCTAAATACAGAAAGAGCGGAAAGAGATGCAAGGAGTACTGCATGATAAAAACAGCGTAGCAAGCTTTTGCTGCATAGGAACCTCCGTACATAGGAATCACTCTGGTCAGCATCATTATCTGTATCAAAAAACCTATTCCAACATTCCTTTCCAATTCTAAAAATTTAGAGGGTGGGGCCTGGTGGTATAATAGCGTAAGTCTTATCCGTATTCCCTAACTCTGGGACATGAAAGGCTGGCTTGATGGCTAAATCTGGCGCAGGAAGAACCCCGATGTGATTCCAGGCACCTTCCTATTACTCTTTCATTCAAACACTTAGGGTTTCCATCCTAATCTCCTTCAAAAACTCTGATACTAATATTCCGTATATCCAGCGCCGAAAGATCGTGTGGGTACACATTTCCCTGAATATTACTGCTATCCCAGTGCCAGGCCCAGTCTATTATTCCGAAAGCTAGGATATCACAACGCGATAGATGCGATGATCTGAGAGCTTACATGCTTCCGTCGCGTGGGTGCTACCAAAAATCGTTGAGTGTTCCTCCGAGAAGCCCATGGTGGCTGGAAATATCCTCACATATTCGCCTTTCTTCTCCCTCATTGATCTGATATTGAATTAGACGGAAATCCAAGTATAGTGAAACGAAAGAAGACGATACCTTGGCTTGTGCTTCATCTCGCGTTTCTAGCAAGTAGCCACATCTCTTCATGAGTACCTCCACCCGCGCTAATATTTACCTTTCTACAGAAATATAATTTCTATTTAAAGAATTTTAGTTCCTTTCAGTAGCTAACCTTCTCATACAACTGCACCACATCGCATCTCTCTATCTCTAAAATGTAGCTTGGGGAGGGGGGTTGGGCGGGTCTGCAATGGCCTCAAGGGTAGTAGACTCTCCCTCTTTCTCGACAATCAGAACGGGCTTCGAAAATATGGGAACCGAAAGGCAGCGACTCATACATACGGACACCGCGAGAAATGCACTTGTTCTTTTGATCTGAAGCACCGCAACGCATAAAACAACTTGCTTCTCTTCTAAGGATGAGGTAAAGAAAGAGAAAAATGGTACAACCTTCGTACATTCCTGAGGCGATGAAGATGAACATTAATTTAAACAGCCTGTGGTGTTGCTAAATTTTCGGTTCTTCGTATTCTGATCACGTTAGGGCTACAGAACTAGGCAGTCCTTAGGTACAACCTTGTGGCTGCCAAATGTGCCCACACAGAAAGGGGATTACGGTGGCACAAAGCGAGGGCGTGATAAGGCAAAGTTGCTAGAAGAACTTTGCCACGGTTCATACCGTCGCCGAGGACCGTATTCGCTGTCGGAAACCGAAAGATGTTAATTCTCAAGCAGCACATTAAGCCGAGCATGCCTTTGAGAGCTTTATCTGTCTTCATCTGCTTTATTCACCAGAATGAGGTCAGTCGAAGCCTGAAAGAAGGTTAGGCAGGATGGCAAGTTTTCCGGAAACGGTCATAGTGCCAGCCGCATCCCTGTACTTGCATATAACCTCAAACCTGTGTGCCACAGTCTTATAATTTACCAAGCCTTATGGGATTCTCAATTTGCTTTGGGATGTATTCTGGTGTAAAGATGTGGCAGGGCTGTCTTCCGATAGCAATATCAAATTTCTTTGGCCAGTCAAGTATTCCACCGCGCTTCGTAGACGCTTACTATTGGTCAACTCCTGTCGAATCGTACTGCCAAACACAGCAATCTTCAGATGTTGACGTTTTTGCAAACCGTAGAAGTCTTCTGGTTAGCGTGCACGGCCCGCCAGCGTGCACACAAAACATCAAAATTCGTCTATCTTCAAATCAACCTCCTGCCACCAAAATGAACGCTATTGAGGCCGCGCTTGCTGATTTAGAATTGCAAGATTATCCAAATTATTCTATAACTGCAAAAAAGTATAATGTCGATCGATCTACGCTGTTGCGCTGCCACCAAGGTGTTACCGTCTCCCACGAGGCCTATATTGAATCCATTAGTATTCTTACTAAGAAGCAAGAAAACAATCTCATCTCTTACATATAGAAGCTGACAGCGATGAGCCTTCCACTGATGAATACAATGGTGGTGAACTTCATCCACGACCTTACAGGACATTGGGTTCACAAGGATTTTGTTACTAATTAGTGAAAGAAATACTTAGATGTCTTAAGGTCTTTTTATCTCACGCTAATTGACTTACAGCGTATAAAAGCTAACAATAACTTTCTATACAGTTAATACTTTAATTTTATAAAGAAAAAGATCGCTAAATACGACATCCAGCCACATAATATATATAATATAGATAAGAAAGGCTTTCTTATTGGGGTACTAAATAAGCTAAAAAGAATCTACTATAGGTCAGATTATAAGTTAGGAAAGCTTAGGGATACTAGGTAAGATAAGAATAGAGATTAGATTATAGTATTAGTCTTAATTTATATAAATAAGTCTTATCTTCTACCAGCGCTTATTTATAAGGGCTAATTAGAAAATATACAGAACTTATAGCTCCAGGATTATAAATCTTTATTCTAAGAGGTCTTTTTTACTGTATTTCCTACTAGCTAGATAAATAACAACCTAGGATTTAAGTAACTAATAAAGGTGTTTAATTATTACTTAAAGCTAAAAACAAGAAATAGAAGAGACTAGCGCTTACTAATTATTAACAGCTATAAATCTTATATTAATATATAATTCATTAATTAGGAGATTGCTTATTGTATTATAATTCTTATTTTCTTTTCTCACTTAACTCATACGCTTTAGTTACTTGATATAGGGTTATTCTAACTACTATTAGATTATTACACTTAAGAAGTAATACAGTACGTATATTAGACGTAAGGACTTATTAGTATTACTAAATAGGACTTCTTTAGGTTCTTTTAGGTTACCTTTAATAAGGCCTTTATAAAAGATAATGTATTTAGTAGATAGTAGAGAACTGGCTTATATCTCTTCACTCCTAAGGTAATTCTTAACCCTTAGCTAAGAAAGTATATAAAATGGGTCCCTATACCTTCTCTATAGCAGGAACTGATTGTGCCTTTATCAGTAAGAGATAGAAAGAAAATTCAGAAGCTATTTAATACTATAATCTTAAAGACTAGTTAGAAAGGGAAGTAGCTCCAATTAATAATATAGAAACTAGTAGATATAAAGAACTTGCTAAGAAATGAAGTAGAAGGGCTTAAGCTTGCTCTAAAAAGTAAAAAGAAGAAGCATGTACGCAAGAAGAGCTTATTTAAAGAGCTTTAAGTAGTAGATAAAGGTAATTACTTTTTTCTTAGCCTCTAAAAGGTGTCCCTTGCATGTGACCTTTAAACTAAGAGGGAACAGGCTATTCTTTAAGAACAGGTAAGAAAGGAAGAAGAAAAACAACTTAAGGTGATAGCTAAGGAGCAAGAGAGACTTGCTATTAAGTAGAGAAAGTGAGAACATAAGACTGCGAAGATCTAAAAGGAGATCTAGTGTGAGATAGAATAGGAGAAGAAAAGGCTTACGCATAAAAAAGCTCTGTACACTAAGGAAGCTAAAAAGTAACTTAAAAATGACCTGAAATTGATGCAGGGTAAGGGGAAGAGGAAATCTACCGCAATTACTGCTATTACAGAATTTCTTTTGGATGTGGGTGAGAAAGATAGTCCTCTAGAGGTGGATCTCCCTTTATCTTGTCTAGGCCGCGTGAAGAAGCTTCCTGCTCGCTTTAGAGACGATATAATTGAGATAGGCTAACTCACCGATCTCGATTTCCTATTACACCATAATTGAAGCGATTCTGACGATTCTTTGATTGCGAATAACCTCAATTTTTGAGGTGGTGATGTGGATGACTAAGCGTGCACGCTAACCGGCCGTGCACACTAACCAGAAGACTTCTACCCCGGGCTTGTGGCGCGGGACGTCCCTTTCATTACGAGGTTTTTGACCCATCTAAACATTACTCACAAGCTTAGGATCTACTTACAGCTAACTCCTTTATATACCTTCCATTTCAATACAGCTCTACTCGGAGAACGACTTTACTTCAGTAACATGACATAAAAAATATTTAATTGGAAAACTTCTTTTAAAGTCCAAACTAGCAAACCCCACATATTTTGCCTCGTGAATGAGTTTGGCAGACATAATCTAACACATCATAAAGATCT